AGCTGTCGATTGGCTTTATTTGAATATTCATGCTGGCACTGTTTCCGATGTAATCTCCTTCGATTCTGGTGAAAAGGCGCAAAGCTTTCGTCCGTCATATGACGAACATCACCAGAGCAAGGTATCATCGTCACAACATAATTCAAGCTAATGAGTCAAGAAAATTCACCGGCAAATCCTAAATGTTTGTTAAAAAGTAAGCTGCCGGGGATGATATGTGAGATTGCTGCAGATTAAGCTTGAGGCAGGTGCTTTTATGACCTACCAGCTACATCTTCTAAATCACTTATATTTTTGGTCCTGCAATGTTGCCGCATCTAATTTCGTTCCATTGTAAGTGGGCTATATGCATGCAATGCTCTTGAATTGCATGAGGTGTGAAAGTCAAAACCAGATCCGAGGCTAATCAAGCCTTTCTCTTGCTCAACGCCACCTCAGGTTCTCCCTCTCTCTCATATCCAACAGCTACAAGTGATTCCCACTTATCTTGATACGCTTATTTATTTGGGATGTTGGCTGTTTTATTGACTTATATAGATCCCAATTTTGTGCTTACTGCTATCCAGCTAAGCGTTTGCTATTAGACCAGCCTATCTGGTATCCTGTGTGAACCATGTGTTTGGCTAACTCAGATTTTTGGACCTATACACCTTTGCAGGCTGTTGTGTTCAGATAAACTCGTATGTATGGCCTGCAGGTCTCTCCTATATAAGCGCTGCCGCATAAACACAAACTTGCAACAGTCCGATCTGGAGTGTTTTTTTGATATTATATGTGAATAATGGTTTATGGTTCTGACTATGTCCGTCACATAACTGACAACAACTCAGCACGGAGTAATTGCGGTTGTAGGATGGTGAGTCGAGGTCTTCTTTGCACAATTCAACAGACAAAATTCCAAGGCAACCCTTATTCGGTATCCGGTGAAACCAATTTACGAATACCTTTCACCAATCTTCTCAAACGAAATGAAAGGTATGCGAATATCAATCTACTAAGGGGTTATTAAAACCCCTGCTTCTCTTCATTCGTCCGCAATGTCTCCTCTTCAAGAGCATTAGTCGAATCTTCCAACAATTGTAAGCCGACTAACTCTTTTCCCCCTTCAAAAATTCACTTAATATTACATGAAAAACCTGGTAGTCTATATTGAAACATAAATCAATTATTCATCCAGATATTTCAACTTTTAGTTGAAAATGCTAAAAATACCAGCGCCCAAGTTGATGGTGACTGTCAAAATGGCGTAAAAGTCTAAGTCTAGATTACTTATATAGATTTTCCGATCTCATTAGTAATTTACTTAGTAAAGCAAAAATATGTTACTAGATGCTATTAATTATCATCATAGCCGTCTTATTCCATTTGCTTTCGAACATCATTGTTACTTTTACGAAATTTTGGTGATTGCTCATTCCTTCCTTTTCTTCTAATTACATTCTTACATTCTCCCTCCTAGATCCCAGCTAACTATGTGTATGTGTGGATTTTGTTTGTTTCTCTTGCCCACTCTTTCCAGCTACACTTCACATTCGGCTGCCCAACAATCTTCCGCCTAGCCATAGGGGTGAATTGGCTAAGTTTGCTTACAAGGTTGTATTGGTTCTCGAGATTATGTTTCACGAGCCTGTCGACAGCTCAGGTACCTCCAGGCTACCGGCTCGCCTTACGCACGTCCTACAACTACCTCTTCGTCTGCTGCCTCCAGTCTGGATCTACGCTGCCCCCGCAAATAGAGGCAATAATAGTGGCAGTCGTAATGACTCGCTCTTGCATGGCCATGTTTATTCTCCTTCCCAGACTATTCCTTCATCCTATTCAAGCAACCCTTTCTTACATACCAGTGGCCGAAATATAAGCGCACGTAGTCATAATCGACCCCGTCTGCGTCGATTTCCGCCTGGAACCATAAAAGAATCGACTGGTCTCCTCTCAGATCCTTGTACTTCTGAGTCATCCGGCTTGCCCGGATATATTTATGGGCCCGACTCCGATCTCAAGTCTGACCTGAACCTCCCACAATATCCCTATCACGATCCACTCTCCGGCTCATACTTCGACACAAGCTCTGGCTCTGACTCTGACTCCTCATCCTTCACAATAACTTTGCCGGAACCTATCGAGTTTGGCTCAAAACTGCCGGACTATTCGACTAGCTACCACTCTTTGAAAGATTTTACTTTTCCCCATAACCCCATCTCTGCAGTACCTGATGATTGCGCACCTGTCGGAAAACGAACAGCTACTGCTGGACAGATACGGGCCTCATTGAGCGAGGCAACAGACGCTCTGAAAGACGAGATAGTGCCGTCTTATAAGTCATTCCAGAATTCCAGTCAACTTCATGAAACAGCCTGTTTGGAGGTTAATCATTATTTTTCCGAACAGTCTAATGGTGCATATATGTAAAATGTCATAAATTGTTTGTTTCTGCTTACTTCCTTTGGATGTCCTAAAGGAAATTATTAGATTGGCTTGATTGTAGATATGCGGACCAAGCTGCTGTGGTTTGGTCACAGTCTTCTTTAGCTGTATATGGTTGGGCTGACCTCGGTTCAGCAACTTTTTCAAGGTCACAGGAGACCTTATACAACGTATCTAGTTCTGCTTCTTCTGAAAAACTAGTCATGATAATTTTACTCTTGGACCGTTGACTTGGTACATTCATAGACGTATAATGGCATCGTTAGTTAAAAGGGCCGCCCATAGCGCCAATCAGCATTTGGTCTCTAACACGTCGTTTATATTTAAAAAATTGCTTCTCAGTAAATTAATTTGTAATTTTTTTTACTACTTTTGCTCCTTCATTAAATAGTATTTATATGAATATGGATTTATAATACCTATACATTCTTCGTATTTGTTAAGCGTTTCATTGTGTCAATGGTTTTGTAAAATATTTTTTTATTAACATAATTTCAACACTTCTACATTCCTAAGCCCTTATATGATCCTCTTGCTGGCTTCTAGAATTATGTAGTTTTCTTTTACTAATCTTAGTCGTGTATGGACCCCTTGAGGCCAACAGATTTCATGCCGCATCAGACTTCATCTGGCGCCATTTTCAGCATCATTACTCTCTCGATTATTACTACAACTACGTTACTCTAATAAACAGCTAAAGCTATTTGATTATAGTGGTAACGAGGATTTCATTGAAAATCACGAATTCTAATGTTTTTAAAGTAATTTTCAGTCATTTATTAAGGTATTTATGCAATCTTTGGTCTCCGATCCATTCGAATAGTGAAGCAATAAACTACCTCTTGAATTTTCACCGAGGATGATAAGTCCGTATGCTATGGCCATTATATATCACCTCAATAACTAGTCTATATCGCTGGCCTTATCAGCACCCCAAGTGGAAATTTTATAAATTTGATCGCTGCTAAACACTACCACGAGGCCCAGTTGGTCACAGAAAAAACTTGAATTCTAAGGCAAGCCAGGTCTTAACCATATCATATTTAGACCTCTTATTTCAACTACGATTAATTTGTCTATTGTTTTTTCTAAATACCCATTATAAATGTGATATGAAATAGGCCTAGTTTGCCTTGAAATTCCCATTGGCATTCGTTGCAGTGATGTAGCGGTAACATATCGAAAATAGACGGTGTATAACTCAGGATCGATTTTCCTATGGGATATTGGTGAAATGAGACGAGGTTGAGGCTGCAGCCCACCCTTGAGAAAAATACCTTTTGGAAGCACTGCTAATTGAGTTATAGTGACATCTTGAAGTCTACTCATGTTATTTGTGGGAAAATTTGATCATCTTTCATTTATCCCATGCGACCTTGTTTAGCTAAAACTCTTATATATAGATCTTTAAATTCATTCAATTTTTTTATTAATAGTTGACATTTATATGTGTGTCTGTCCTGGTGGGTTTCTTGTCGTTGTTCAGTCCTCTAAATTGGGCGCAACTTTTCCCGCAGACTTCTCTGGTTTGAGCGTGGCTGCAGAGAAAGGAGATCCTTCTTTTACATTAAGAAGACATGTTCAGCCTCGGTGTTCGCTCGGATTGATGATAGGGGAACTGATAGCTTCTAGTCAGCAAGGTAACTATTCCGATTTATAACCCCTTACTATTTTTTTAGTGATATTAATATTGTATGTAACCCGCTGATGGCTGTTTTGCATCTAACCTATTCAGTTGAGCTGTGTTTCTGATATAAATGGCATTACAAATTATTAACGAGCTCCATTCTCTTTAACTTTTAATACCTAGCTCAATTACTAGGTTGATTTTCCATGTAGATTATCTGATTTAGTGTAATTTCATAAATAATTTTAATATTGGTCTATTTCAGGTCATTTAGCGGGCGGTAAATTAGACGTGTTTAAACTTTAAGCTTTTAGTTGGCTTAAAAAAAAGATTGTTAGGGGGACTTTCATTTCGTATTAAAGTGAATAAAGAAGAGATTCGTTGGTCGATCTTACTAGATGAGGACGGATAAATCTCGTTATACTTCAGCTGTTTGGCTTTTATACGCTATTTATGTTGACGCAGTCAACGAGACTTTCTCTCTCATATCGGGTGAAAACGTGCTGAGAAAAAGTAACAGGACCAGTATGAAAGATAATTAACCAAACCACTCTATATCAATCTAAGTTTTTTATTTTCTTTTGGCTCAATTGTGTCTATATACGAAGTCAGATAGAGCCGAATAGTGTTCTTACCCTAGTGTTATCGTGAGACTTACAAAAATGACACCCAGCTCTGATAATGCCCATTATATGATGGACGAAAGCTCAGCACGTTTTCACCCGAAACGAGGAAGTATCGTGGACTGGGTCAACATGAATATCGTATAAAAACCAAACGGCTGCAGTATAACGAGATTTATCTGTCTTCATCTGGTGAGATCGATCAAAGAATCTCTTTTTAATTCACTTCCATGCGAAATAAAAGTCGCCCTAACAATGTTATCTCAAGATATTCATCGAAACCCAGTTTCTCTTCGTATTAAAAAAAAGAGTTACCAATAATTCTTCGGTGATGTATTGTGACCTTATTTTCCACTTCAAAGGAAAAGTTTATTGGAAGAAATTCGTGAGAAGATCCCATCGGAAGCTGAAGGAGGGTTGCTCAAAAAAGTCCCTGGCTCACTGTCATGTGACATTGATGAACCTGTGCTAAGCTTTCGTTTGTACTGTGAAACGGATCATCAGAGCAAGAATGCATACCTTATGAATTTGTGCAAAAAATATACTAAACCAATCAAAAAGATGGCCGGCTCCAAACTCAATCACTTTTTTATACACCTATCTTAATGAGGCATCCCATGATTTGGTTGGCAACTTGAAACTTACTCTACATGAAAGATATGAAGACCA